CTCGCCGTTAGTAGTTCTCTCTCCTGAGCCCCTGGGATGTATAATATTAAGGCTGGTTCCTCCAATATTATACAAGATAGGAATATATCCCAATTTAAGCATCAATTTACAAGCTGTTTCTGAAATTGTAGGAATATTAATTTGAGCTCCCCATTGTTGTATCAAATCCTTCCCCATAAATTCATGGCTATATCAGCCATATAAGGCTATAATATTCCTACCTGTCCTTCAGGCCCTATATATTTAATTCATACTACATTCTGTTTTATTACAGATAAGGTTCTAATGCCTACAGATTGAGTGGAGACCTCTTGTAAAGGTCAATTGGGATTCTAGGATTCTTGTGAAATTATAGATATATCCAGCACCAGAATCCAATAATCCTTTAATCTCAATTTTGCTTTTAATTTAGGCTGTTCATCATTGATAATTGTTTGCCAAAACATCATTTTTCCTGTATTTCCAAAGCTTCCAGTTCTATATATAGGCATCATTTGCCTTTAAGATATGGAAGCAATAATAATTGAGCAATTCTATCACCAGTTTTATTTCCATGGTCCTTTTTACATATGCCATCTATAAAAGAATCAAATACAATCTCTATAGGATTTTAAGAGGTAACTTTAGATAATACTCTGGAGTGTTTTTTATAAAATCTTAAAAAGAGGATCCTTTTTTATAGATCTCAAGTGACATGTTAATGCAACTTGCCAATAATTAACAGTGTGGATCAAACAAATTACCTGTGTTTTGTTTAGTGGAAAAATAATTTTGTAACCTCTTTATCAGTAAGAGATTATTTTCTGTGGGTTTTTATCTTGCAACCACATTATTTAATAAGCTAATAACCCAATCTGTTTCAGGTGTTATATTTCTATAGAATTGAACCAAGAATTTCTAGAAAGCATGTTAAAGAACAGCCAAAATCTCAGTAATGATCAACAGACAAGAGCATACCCAATATATAGTTTAAAATTATGAATCCTGGTCCTTTAGTTTATCTACCATGAAAATCAAACATGTATCCAAACATTTATTAGACAATCAAAAGAAGACAACATCCTCTATACAATGAATGATTAATATCTCTGGAAATTCAAACAGCATCAACTTAGCATTCCATGTTCTGACTGCAACTGTTCTTCACCAGAACTTGGGCCCATTTGAACTTCCTCTTTCTCCCATGAAGGGACTACTAATAATGAGTTATTCCCACCATGAGGGAAAAACAGAAAACATTTCCCACGAAGGGATCTTTAATATTGAGTTATTCCTGCTCTGAGGGGAAAAAAAAAATTTAAACCAAAGTTAAGCAAACAGACAACAATACTCTAAGCTCTGGGCTTGCTGTGTTTAGGCTGCAGCCATGAAGCCCACCTGTTGATTCTGTGTAATTCAGATACCGCCACTCTGTGCTGGCAGGCAGAAAGAGCTCAGAGTATTAGTTATCCTGAAATTTTTGTATCGGAAAGAGCTTTCTCTTCCTCTGTTTCTATTAGGAAGAGGCTTCTTTCTTTCCTTTATTTTCCTTTTATGGGCCTTTTAATCTTTAGGCCTAGTTTCAATATTTTTTTCCCTTTTTACTGGGAAAATCCTTTTTTCTTGATTAAAAAATTCTCCCTTTTCTATCAGGAAATTTCCTTTTATTTCCTTTCCTTCCCTCTTCTCTATTGGGAACATTTTTTTTAATTTTTCTTTCTTTCCTTTTTTTCTATTGAGAAAGGTCTTTTTATATGATTTATTTCCTGTCTCAGGAGCCATTTTATTTCTCTTTAAATGTTGTACAGTTACCAATTTTTCTTTTGACAAACATTTTAGCAACTGTATATTTTGTTGTTCCTGAGATGGGAAGTTTAAATTTCCCATGACCCTGCCAATCCTGGAGTCCTCTTACTCTGTGAGCACTTCCTTCCAGTTCTTAAGATGGCCAGCTCCTCTATCCTTCTTCGGTTGATCCTTTTCCTTTTCCAAGACCCACATTGGGCGCCAATTGTCATGGATTGTCCTGGCACGAGTGTGTGGGTTCACGTGGACCCATGGAAAGAAGATTCAGAGGCACCTTAAGAATGAATTAAGCCTTTTACGATTACAGGGGGGTCCAGCCTCTAAGGACTGAAGCACTTTTCCTTCACCTAGGGCATTTTTATTTTCTCTCTATTTACAGTTTAGCCAGTTAGTTTCCATGTGCTCAAAACAACCTGAAAGGAGCTCCCAAAGATACTATGCCAAGTGCAAATTTCTCGATTTCTCAGGTACCACGGTTTTCTGAACCAAGCTTTGCATAGGCTTTATATCCTTAGGAGAATCTCAGACAAGATCCACATAGGCTAGAGAAACAAAAGGTATATTTTAAACAAAGGATGGATTAGGGCTAGGTGCTACTGTCTGGAGCCAGGCCACGTGCAACTCAGCAGGAATGCAGCCACATTATCCTTTACTCAGCAAATAAAAATCAGCAAAAAATGACACTAGTGACATTAATATTTGTCATCGTAAAGAAATAAAGCTTGGGTTGGAGTGTAATTCATCAATAGAGAACATGCTTACCATTATGAAGGACTTAACTCCTAATTTTAATAGGTTTATGCCATTTTGTAAAACAGAGTTGGAGATCAGTTGGTCCCACTTACAATTTATGGGACCCCAGGGCAAGTGACATCTCTGAAGCATTGAATTCTCTATCCTAATTTGGTAGTAGGTTGGTCACATGAACTTTTAATCCCAGGATACAGGAGGCAGGTCGGTCTCGGAGTTTGAGGGCAGCCTGGTTTGTACAACAAATTCCAGGCCAGGCGGCGTGGCAGCAAGAGTGGCTGCAAAGAAATATGAAAGTCTCTTCCGAGTGCTAGCTCGTCATAGACTGATTATTAGAATCTCCTTAATTATGCAATATACACTGAAATACAAAGCAGAGCATGCTCCGCTTTTAAACTGTATGCCCATAAAAGAGAAAACGAATAATTTCCCTTTATGCATTTACTTATCAATTGTTGACTTGTACTTCTGACTTTTGCCAGAAGGGGGAGGAACTTACCTACATCTAAACTTCAAAGAAATCTGTTCCAGTCTGTCTTCCAAAATACCCTATAAGGAAAAAAATTGGTCAAAATGCATTTCTGATCTGCACTTTTCTGGTCCGCCAAACAACTCCTTTCTGTCATATAGTAAGAATTTATGAATCAGATAATAACAGTTCTAATCAATTACCTGTGGTATTCTGACAACAAGCAAGAAATCGCACTAAACTCAGAGCACTGCTATATCCAGGGCAGAATGGTTTTCTTCCTTTGCATAAGTGTTTGTTACATGATCAAAATATAGAAGAATAAAATATTGTAAGGTGATAGCACCTGATGGAAACACACAGAGAGAGAGAGAGAGAGAGAGAGAGAGAGAGAGAGAGAGAGAGAGCTTTTTCTAGACATGTACAAATGTACATGAATCGTTTACAATTGTTACTTTCATTCAACTAAGAAAATCTGCATGTTACTATACATGCAAGTTAAGCACAGGCTGTGCATGTAGCTCAATGATAGCAACAGTGCTTATGATGTGTAAGGTCCTCCATTCAATTCCTATCACAAAAAAAAAAAAAGAAAAATCTTAGACTTAAAAACTATCTTCTAGTAAAGAATAACTAGGCTCAATCCTGTTTATGATTAAACCTCTGTTTCTATGCCTCACCTGTAACCTTAACTACACATGGTTCTGTACTATCAATTCCAGGAAATCACAACCATTTCTATGTTTCAAAAAGTTATTATAATCATCTCGCAACTCTACCTTTGTTTCAAAAGGTTGTTATAACTACCTTGTTATGACTACCTGTTGCTGTGGTGACCTTGTTATGACCACCTTGCAATCATGTCTTTGTTTTAGGAGGTCATTGTGACTAATTTATTATGCTTCAGTTCTGCTCCTGTAACCCCACCTGTTTTGCCTCCCGAATCCTCCATTTGGAAAGCCCCTACCTCTGAGCTATAAAAACTTTGTCTTTCTCATATTGAGAGCTGACCACCTGAGTCCCCCTCCCCTCAGAGGGAAGTAGCCCATGTACACAAATAAAAAGGCTTACATCAATAAATTGCTTGCATCAATTTATTTGGCCATGATGATTTGGGTCAGTGGTCTTTCTCCTTGCATTTTTGAGATTAACAGAGTTATACATATTTTGAAACTTTGCTAAGATTTCCTTAAACTAGCACAACTTTGTCTCCTCAAATACTTTCATCTAATTTGATTTTTGTTTTGTTTTGTTTTGTTTTGTTTTGTTTTGTTTTGTTTTGTTTTGTTTTCCGAGACAGGGTTTCTTTGTGTAGTTTGGTGCCTGTCCTGGCTCTCGCTCTGTAGACCAGGCTGGCCTCGAACTCACAGAGATCCACCTGCCTCTACCTCCCGAGTGCTGGGGTTAAAGGCATGTGCCACCACTGCCCAGCCCTAATTTGATATTTATCTCTCAAACTTGTTTATTTTTTTTAATCTATAACACAGTCATTTTAAATGTCTTACATGGTGAAATTTAGCAATTTTTAAAAAGGTAAACAGACATTTTTGGACTTCAGGAAATAATTCCTTGCTCAAGTTATGATCAGTTATTTTCTAATATTCTTTCACAAGGTTGGCTATGTTATACTTTTCAAAATACTACCAAAAATGTAGGAGAAGTTAAGCATTTTTTGAAACTTTGCAAACATCTTTTTTAAAGTTGACCAAAAACTGATTACAAATAACATGTTTACTTTACCACATTGGCTAGTATATATTCAACAATTATCTGTCTCTCTTTCTAAACCAATCTCTCATTTTTATGGGGATATTTAGTACCGTTATAGGTATTTTAAAACAAGGAACAGAATACTGATGTTGGTCCAACTTAGCCAGTCCTTTTTATGTCAGCAAAAAAAAGGTCATTACTACCTAAACACATAGTAAGTCTCGGTTCAGTCATATTTTATATAGTCCCGAGACACCTAAAACAGAATAAGGAATTTTAGATGAAGTAACTGAATCACCCAGCATAGTAATGAATGACTACCTGCTCCATTTCTCAACCAGACTGTTAGCTGTATGACTTAGATGTGCTTAGAGCTGACATGAGATCTTTGAGTACATCTGCTTACAGAGCAGTTTGTGTTAGCAAAGTAGCTTAAAGACATGCCTTTAATTTGCTAAATGAAAAACATGCTAATTTAAATTTACTAAATTCTTCTAACATGGGCTTTCTTGACCAGAGTAAAGTACAAGGACTCACATCTATTGCTTGTTTTGTGATTTCACAGCTTTAGAAAGGACTTTACAACTAAAAGGGACATTAGAGCAGTTAAGAAAGGTCATTGGATACTACTTAATAAAAAATAACTTTTGTATTTCTGGTATATTTAACCTTTCTCTATGGCTTTCATATTTCTTTTTTGTCTAAACAAGAAATGTTCAATGTAACCTAAACAGGCGAAATTAAAAAAAAAAAATAGGACATCACGTTGACCCCTTTGTTTCACCATAACACCTACATTATTTCCTGCAAAAGTGACAACGTTCATGTTTCTCCCACTTCTGTCAGTCAAGCAGACACAAACTTCTGTCTCTCCATTAATTATACCTATTGTGAGATCCTTTATTTAGATGCACAACACATACAGTCTTCTCTTATTCCAAGTATATTTTAAAACATCAGCCAGTGCAGGTGTTTCTCTCACTCTAACACATTTTTTATTACTATTTCCGGTGTCCCCTCCCACCTTGTACAACAACCACAAATGTCTTACTGTCTGTCAAAGCCCAGGGACGGAGCATCACTGAGGGACAGAAAACCAGAGATGCTGCTCATCCATCATTTAATACAGCACACCACCACAGACCAACACTTCATCCTCATGTGAATCAGCAATTTGTAGTATAGATGTAAGTGGGATTGTTTGGATTCCCTTCTGCTGCCCTGAGATTGAAAACCATATCCTGAGCTGCAAGCTTGAATTATGAATGCCTTGTGCAAGGGCACCTATTATGTTGCTTATGGTGTCTACCACCAAGTAGTTCTTGCCACAACTTTAACTTTTTGAGCATGCTATGGATATTACAGTAAGTTGTATGGGTTGCAATGTGTACCCACAGTTCTCAGATCTGAGGTCTAATAGAAGTGAGGTCTGATTCTGTTTATTTTCTGCCTCATGCCTTAGTTTTCTAGTATACCAGCTCAGGCCAGTAACTGCCTGAAGTGGAAAATCATCCTTTAAAATGTCTTTAAGAGAAAATGGAGATCATTTCCCAGTATGTCTAGACAATATCCACAAAACCTGAAAAATATTCTGTCCAAACAGTAATACACTGTGTCATCTGAATTTGACATGTTATTAAAACCATTGACTGCTAAGTGCTACCAACTAAATACTTGGTTTTAGTGTCAAAGACCGAAAACAAAATGTTGAGTCCTCAGAATTATAAATTAAAAGAAGACTCTAAACAATTAATTTTAGACCTATGTATAATGACACTCTAAGAGACTGACTAAGAATTTATTATTAAGGGTCTTATTATGCCAAAGGAACAAATATTATATAACCTACAGTTCCAGTAGTTATGGCATACCGTTTCTCTCTGTTTTCTGTGCAGGGACAGAAGCTGTGGGTGTAGGCAGTTTGGATAAAGCAGATGCTCCATTAGCATCAGATGATTTCTTTGGCTGGTGATCAGATTGAAGCGTAAATGGACTAGAAGGAACAGTGCTGGGGGTTGATGAACCACTGGTTTGATGGGGTGCTGTACTGCCGCAGAGCTACTGTGAGTCTCTGCTCTTGGCAGTCTGTAGTCTTTGTCATTGTGTCTGCTTGTCTGAGACAAAATGTTCTGTGGGAGCAAACTACTGGCATCGCCGGAATGCTTGTCTTCCACTGTAGTTCACAGTTCGCAAGAGAGGTGTTGGAATGGCAGAAGGGGAGAAAAACAGATGCTGTTAGAATCCGGTGTCGTGAACATCAGCTAATCGAGCAATGTAACTGTAGTTATGTTCCTTTTCATACAACTGCAAGCCCAGTTAGTAGCTGCAGTTTTAACACTGGCATATAGATGTCAATACGGCAAGAGTTTTAACAACTATAAATATGAATCTATACTTAGAATCAATAGGTCAACATATTTTTAAAGCTTCTTTGGAAATCAATTATATTTCAGAAACAAACTTCTGACAGTAGTAATAACATTTTACTCAAAAAATAAATGTTTTCAAAAATAAAAAGGCAAATGTTTTAATTTTTTTAATATGGTTCTCAGGTTCAAATAATTAACAGAACAACCCACAGTGGTTCAACTTCAAATAAGCATTGGCTTTATTAACCTCAGTTTTTAAAATACTGAAGCAGCTAGCTAATGTGAGCTCTATAAAGTGGTTTATTCTAGAGCTTTCAATGATGTAAGATGGTTTATCAAATAATGAACTGTGCATTAAAAACATAATCCAATAAAATATTTTAAATAACACTGACAAGAGCAAAATAATCATATTTCACATGTTATTCTGAAAAGATGTAGACATATGTAGACCTAATTAGAAAAATGTACTTTTCCCTAGCAATTACATCAGAAGCATCTAAATTCAGAACCTAAGTATAGGAAACAGTTGAAACTCTACCAGCAATTTAAATTCTGGTCTGTGATTTTACTAAGTAATACAAAAGGAGGAAATTTTTTAGCCTCCTGTACTAAAGGTCATTAGTTTTAAAAACAAATTATCTGTAATATTCCAAAGTAATATTTTATAAATATTTTACAAAATTACAAGTATCCCAAGATTGAAAGGATGTGGCAACTCTTGACAGTTTTATAAAGAATGCTCACTGTTGAATATGGTTTTTTTTCCTAATCCACAGCTCTCCTAACTCTAAAATCATGAATGTACGAAGAGCAGACTTCTCAAACTACAAGTCAGTTTTCAAGTTGTCACTATACAGCTACCACAGCACCCTTAAGACAGGGACTGACCACCAAAAAATCCTGAATTCTATCAAAAGAAACTCCCCATTTATCTAATATATAGAGTCAGTATGTTCCACAATGTTCAATAACAGAAGTAGATTGGACTATGACAGGGGTATATAAAATCCTACACAGACATAATAAATTACTCTTTTGTAGGAGCATAAAACTATTAGAATCTTATTCTAGTTTCTTCATACAAACAAGATACAACTATAACAAACCTTCAAATACAGATACATCAGTAATAACACCATTCCTAGACCTGCCACTTAATTACCAACAACTTTTATTTCCTAACCTAGAAAATTCCCCTTTTGTGTTATATGGCTATAAGGAAAACCAAAAGGTTCAGATGAAAATTTAAAATGATACTTCAAATACCTGTTAAGTTAAAAAGACAGCAAATTATAGGAACTGGGGAAGATGGAGCTGCAAATGCTTCCTACCATTACCAGACAGAAGGCATTAACAGAAGTGCCTCTATCTGTACCACGGCTCCCCAGACTTGTCTGAATGCCATGGTGGGAGGTTTGTGACTAGCTAATCTAGCAGGTATAATAAAAATTACAATACAGGACAACAAAGAATGGCTTGATCCAAAACAAAAAAAGTCACTAGTGCTATAAGAAATCCCAGTTGAAGTTTCTCTAAATTCAGAGGAATCATACTATTAAGTACAGAAAGAAGTAGTCCAGAGGCAGTTAATATCAAAAGAAAAATTATATCCATACAATTTTGAATATCAGATTGTAAAAACATTTCCACCCTCTCTTTATATGTAAGAATCTTCCCATTCCTTTCATTTCTTGAAAGGAACACACTCTAAGCATTATTCTAGCCAAAGCAAATAAACTTCCAATAGTTTTTGCACAATGTCAAATGATTAAATGGGATACTGATTTTATTACTATAGCAACACAAATAACTTAGTGGAAAAACTGTAAAGGAAAATAAAATTTAGTATAAAAGTTCTTTCTCAACCATTATTTAAAACTTTAATATAAGAAAACAAAAATTATATACATCCATGACTCCATCCACAAAGCTATTGACTATTATTTGTATATAGGGATATAGTTTCAGTTAAGGGGCATTTATGAATTATAGCATTTGAAATGGCTGAAAACCACCCAATATTCAGACAGCAGAAGGCTTAAAATAGTATACTGAAACAGAATGGTACAGGCAATCATTTAACAGATGTAGAATCATAAATAACATAGAAGCAGATCCTTAGAATAGTATTGAACAGCAACAATGAAAACGGGTCGAAACAATTAACAGTTTCATTTTTGGAGCAAAATCTCTATACACACAAATACGGTAAACAATACAAAACCAAAAACGGTCTATTTCTAGGATCTAGTTCACATGCACACTATTTTTCCTCTTATGTCTTTATTTAAAAGTTTTTTCATGCCCACGTGTATCACTCACTCCTCCATGTTCCCTGACCACTAATTGCATGAGAGACAACAAACTATATGCTATTTTATTACTTCAAGAGGAAACCTTGTCTCATTTTCATTTGATTGGCCAAAGTCAATTAGTTACACTTAAGTGTGTTAATAATGGTCAGTAGTGGTTTTGCATATATAAGGCCCTCATAATGAGAACAGCAGGTGATTTAACAAAATTGATTGGGAACCTGTAAGGTCTCATCACTAGAAGGAAATGGATGATGAGAGAAGAATCTGTTTTCTCCAGAGATAAACTCTGATAGATTAGCTAATCCCAAATGATCAGTACCTAATACTCATGCAATATGACAAAACTAAATGGATTCTGTAGGGTATACATATATACATAGATATCTTTGTGCATATAAGAATAATGGTTAAAGAAGAGGTCATCAAATTGAGAGGAAGTAGGGAAGACATGAGAGGAGTTGAGAAAGAGAGATAGGAGAGGTTGAAATGATGTAAATATCATGCTGATACATAAAATTATCAAAAACTAAATTGAATAAATTAAAAAAAGAAGCATGTATTGAACCTTGTCGTGATACTGTGTTCCCCAAAATATTGTGCACCCTAATAAACTTATCTGCGGTCAGAGAACAGAACAGCCACTAAATATAGAGACCAGAAAATGATAGCACACACACCTTTAATCCTAGCATTCCAGAGGCAGAGATCAGTCTGGATCTCTGTGAGTTCAAAGACACCCTGGAAACAGCTAGGCGTGGTAACAAGAGCCTTTAATCCCAGGAAGTGATGGCAGGAAGCAGAAAGGTATATAAGGTGTGAGGACCAAGAACGAGAGCCTGGTTAAGCTTTTAGGCTTTTGAGCAGCAGTTCAGCTGAGATCTTTCTGGATGAGAACTCAGAGGCTTCCAGTCTGAGGAAACAGGATCAGCTGAAGAATTGGCAAGGTGAGGTTAGCTGTGGCTGGTTCTGTCTCTCTGATCTTTCAGCATTCACCCCAATACCTGGCTCCAGGTTTGTTTTTATTAATAAGACCTTTTAAGATTCGTGCTATAGAACTTTCTCAGGCTAAGACAATTTTTACCATTTAACATGATACTGAACCAAGTTTATATGAGGGCTCGGTCACTTTCAGTTTATTTCTTTTGTGACCTATTTGGAGCAAGATACTGACATTGCTGTCTCGGGTGCCCTGAAGCAAGTTCTGCAGAAGTGTCTGCTCCATACATGGTGAGCCAAACAGGAATTTACCAAATGAACCAATGTTGGTTTTTTGAAACCAAATAATTTCACAATTTTGTCATATTTCTTTTTTAAAGCCATTTCACATTGGTAGGGAAATAGTACATCTGGCACCAAAATATCTTTTAGAATGCAGGCAAAAATTCTGACCTACAGAAAAAAAAATTTAGCACATCCATTCAACAAAATACTGACAGCCTTTGGTATCTGTATTTGGGGTTTCTTCCTTTGAGATAAGATCTCAAGAAACTTTCAGCTTATACATATACATCACAGCTCTTGCTTCTGTGGTTCATAAAACAATGAGAAAGAGGACATGGAAAGATTGTAATAATCATAATGATCAGGAAGTCATCTGTGAATCAGTCTCTCCTAGAAATGGCTGCATAAACAACTGGAATATAGTCATATCAGTGGAATTGTTAATGTAGAAATGGAAAACTTTCATGGTGCTTCATCCCTAGACAAGGAATTTACAGGCAAGTGCTGATTGCTGGGAGGATGAGAATTTGCCTCTTCCAGGGTTGAACCCCCTTATCGGTTGTCCAGTGCAAAATGGTCATTCTAAAAGCCATATACACACAAGGAAAATGGACACAGCAGGTTCTTTTTATTTATGGTGGGAGGGTATCAAGAGGGTAGAAAGGGAGATATAAATCATTCAAGTTAGTTCATCGAATGTGTGTCTTAAATAGAGGAGTAGTTATCACTGTTGCTGACCATGTGTAGAGAGGTGATTTAATAAAAGAAAAAGGAAGTATGTCTTGTTCCAAGTGGAAGAGGCTAAGAATGACATTAAAAAGTGAGCCCAGTGGTGGAGGACCAGAGTCCAGTTTTCAGAAGAGCATTTTCAAACAGGGACAATGTGGGGTTCTGGGAAACTAAGGGATTGGCCTTCTGACAAGTTTTATAAAGACAGTAAAGCACACTGGTATTGAAATCATCTAGAACTGGAGGTTAAAATAGAGTTCAGAGTAAGCTGTAAAATGCATTGCCTTTTGTGCTAATTATAAGAACTGACAGTTTCTGTTGGAACTTCCTTGAGCCACAGAGAACTCTCAATAGCACACAGAAATGTGGTATCACAGAGGGTGGGCTAGAGAGTGTTCAGTACCAAGGACTGGAAGGAACCAAATGAAATATACCTGTGGTTTGGGGCAGCCGTCCCCTTTCCTGTGCACCTTTACCCAAGTTGTATAAATCCTTTCTGGAGTGAAAGATGGGACAGCACATTCACAGAAAACAGTAACAAGTCTAGACTCGAGGTGTGTGTTGTTGACCCTCCATTTACCTTGCCTTAAGCAGGAAATTAGCTTGCTAGTCGGGTCCTTTGAACCTATGCTTTCAGGAAACTGCACCTTCCTGGGACGAATATGTAAAGATGGAGAAAGTCATTGAACACTGCAGGAGAGGGAGCAGGGAGTGGTATCCTATAGAAGGAAGACACCTAGAGAATACAGAAGGAAATGGAGGCAAAGTAGAAGGGATCTGCTGTTCCAGAAGTCTCTACCATTGACTGAGCATACATGGTTTTAAAGTCCTTGGTAGTTTCTGAATAAGCCTGAACCAATTAGACAGCATAAGTGAGTTACTTGGGTTGTAATCTTTGAACCCCTCTAGAAGAGCACTCCTGACACAGTGTACACATTTGTATGCTGACTTGTAAATATAGCTTTCAAGGGTTTAAAAGGTTTTCTGTGACTTCATTTGCTTATATGATGTTTTCCTTTCAACAGTTGTTTTCCATGATGAAGAATGAGGGCTACCACTTATAAATTACTGTTTGGTTTTTCCATGAATATACAGTAGAGTGGGACATTGTATCATCTGCTTTATTTGGGGCTATCACATTTGTTTAAATTGGCACAATGCCTTTAATCCCAGCACTCGGGAGGCAGAGCCAGGCGGACCTCTGTGAGTTCGAGGCCAGCCTGGACTACCAAGTGAGTTCCAGGAAAGGCTCAAAGCTACACAGAGAAACCCTGTCTCAAAACAACAACAACAACAAAAAAAGTGTGTTGAAAAGTTATGTAATAGATCAACTGTAATTTTGGTACAATCGTCAGGACACATAATTTTCCAAGATCAGTGATTCTCAGGCTCCTCCTATAAGTTGGCTAACACTCTTTGATATGGAATTATGTGTGAATTTTCAATGAGTAGTGTAGTGATTAGAAGTGGAGGCAGATAGTAGCCACTGAAAGATGTTTATAAACCCAAGAGCAAAAACTATGTAAAGAAATATCATTTACTATTCAAACACCAAGCACTGTGTACATTTTTAGTAGTTACCTCTCACCTTTATTCTTGTGTTTTGTTTTCTTAAAAGGCATCCTATTGCTGAAGCACGTATGAACTCACAGAAACTATGGCAGTACATACAGGGTCTGCACAAGTCTAAACAAGATGAGTCAGCAGCTCTGAAAGGGGAAATGGACATGAGCTTCCATACCTAACCAAGAAGGAATCTCCAACAATGGATTGGAAAGGAAAATGGTTTCGATCTAATTTAGTCTCACTGGATAAATAAACTACATTCAAGTGTATGCCCAATGCCTATCAGGAGATGGCCAACAGAAAATAAATGCAATGGTATTTTTGTAGATTTTTTTGTCTCATATTTCTGTGTTTGGGCTTTGTGGTGTGTGTGTGTGTGTGTGTGTGTGTGTGTGTGTGTGTATCTTACTGATCCTTTGTTTACGTATTATGTTTTCCGTTTTTGTCTTTTTATTTTGTTGTGTTTTTCTTTGCTTTTTATTTGTTCTTTTTTTAATTTGTTTTTTATTTGCCTATTTGTTTTATAAAAAGCAACATAAGATTTAATGTTGGAGGAGTGGGAAGTTGGAGAGGAGTTTTGAGAGAGAGAAAACCATGATCAGAATATACTGTAAAACTTTTAAATTAAAAAAAAAAAAACAAATTCAAGCAACAACAACAAAAAGACATCCCATTAAATTCACATCACTGATTTTGCTGTGTTCAGTTGTATCATCCGCTTTATTTGGGGCTATCACTTTTGTTTAAATTGGCACATGCCTTTAATCCCAGCACTCGGGAGGCAGAGCCAGGCAGATCTCTGTGAGTTCGAGGCCATCCTGGACTACCAAGTGAGTTCCAGGACTCTAATTTTTAAGCTCACATTCAAGTAAACAGAACCTTTTGAGACACATTTCTTCTGCTAGATTTGTTTTGGAGACTCTTTATTCCAGGTTGTCTTCATCATTTATGTGGTCAGCTGGCAGGAAAAAAAATTATTATAAAATTTGGTGTAGTTGCAATATCTTTACCATGAAAAATACCAAAAGAGTAGCAAAAAGTTTGAATTACTAGGAGCTAAAAAATGACATGCAAATATATAATGCTAAAGAAATTACAGTATTTATAGTTTTCCCACAATAGAAGAAATATAACGTGGTGAAAGATTATTTGGATAAGTGAACCTTAGTGTGTATGTGTTTAAATTTTTATTAACACAACTTTCATAAATCTCATACTATAATAGATATACCTGATACAGTTAGCTAGAATCCTCCCAGAAATTGTAGCAGGATGCTCCTGAGAATATTTGATAAATTGTGCTTTTAATTTACCTGCAGCCTCAAAACATACGGTTGAAAATAGAACAAAAGAGGGTAATATGAATGCTTTATTTGCAATATCATTACAAGACAGATTTGATTAAAACATGTCACAGATACATCAGCCAAAATAAAATTGCCTGCTAAGTGCACAATAACTAAAAAAGAAGTCAAGCAGCAATGGGGAACAAGCAGAACAACTTTCATCCAAATATATGTATATATGTGTGTGTGTGTGTGTGTGTGTGTGTGTGTGTGTGTGTGTGTGTGTATATACATATATATATATATATTTGGAGACTCCTTTATGAGTACTATATTTATGCTATTTGACTCTCCTTTTCCCATTTCTGACTCCCCATGTCCCCTACTCACTCTCAAATTCATGACCTCTTATTATATTTACACAGATACACGAAGTCCATTTACTGTTGCTTATATGTACACTACATGTATTTAGGGCTGGCCAAAGGGGTTGGATAACCTTTTAGGGAGTTCATCCCTGGTAAACACTGATTCATCCTCCCTCCCTCAACAACCATAAATTGGTTGTAGCTCTTTCTCTAGAGAAGTGATTCTCAACCTTCCTAATGCTGCAACCTTTTAATACAATTCCTCATCTTGTGGTTGTGGGGACCCCACCACCACCACAAAATTATTTCACTGCTTCTATATAACTGTAATTTTGCTACTGTTATGAATTGTAATGTAAATATCTGATATGCAACCTTTAAAGGGATCGCAGCCCACATGTTGAGAACCACTGATCTAGAGGTTGTGCCCTGTGAGATTTCCACCATCCATGCTTGTAGCAAGCTTTCTCATCAACTTTCTTGGACGATCAGCTCACAAATAATGATACAGAGGCTTATTGTTAAATATGGAAGTTTGTCCATTAGCTTAGCCTTGTCCTACTAGTTCTTATAACTTAAATTAACCTGCTTTTATTAATCTACATTCTGTCACGTGGCTTGGTTACCTTTTGTTGTGGGTCACCCTATCTGGACACCCCTTGGAGGAAGTGAGAAGGTGTTGTGTCAACAATGCAGACACTGGGAGTCAGGTGAGCAGCAAGCAGTGGACTCATTTGTTGCGGATATGGGTGAACCTATATATCCCCTCCAGATTTCCTATTGGCAGCCAGAGATTCTCTTAGCTGTCTTGTCTCTTTCTAATTGGCTCAGCATTCTGATGGTTGAGCATCACCAATCACCAGGTGCAGTGGCAGACCCCAAGTTGGCTCAATGTGAAGTAGCTAGCACACATGCCTAAGCACACTACCCACAACAGGGCACCTGTGGTTTTATCAGGCTAACTGGCTGCACTCCTCCTATAACCTCTACTCTGTGATGTAAGTCTGACATCTTCATTGTTGTCTCCCTGATGTCCCTTGCATGCCTAGATTCCTTCTCCTCTTCCTTTCTTTTTCTGGAAATCCTGCCTATCCTCTCCTGCCTAGCTATTGGCCACTCATCTTTGTGTTATATCCATCACAGCAACACATCTGCACAGAGTGTACAAATACACAACACATCTCAGTTGCTGTTGTCTTTATACAGGTCTTGTTTAAACAACCATATTGTTGAGATTTTAAGGGTGCTACATTTCTGTCATGTCTAGGAGACACTTTATAGCAGCAAGCATTCTGGTACTGTGAGCCTTACAATCTTTAGGCCCCCACACCTGCCATTTTTCCTAAGTCTTGGTGTAAGGGCTGACTCACTTGGGGGTGGACACCCAATAGTTACTTATCCTTTCATTTGGAACAGTTGTGGATCTCTATGATGTGTCTACTGCAGAAAGAAGCTTCTCTGATGAGAGTTACACTTATCTGAGGGGATAACTGTGTGTCTAAGGATAAGTACTTAGAATATAGTTAGAAACTATATGGGCTTAGAAAAATGGCTGTAGTAGGTTTGCTCCAGGATCTAGGACCTTTCCAGCCATGAATGTTGACTGGATTTACTGTACTAGGCTTGATTTTCCTCCTATTTAATGGGACTTAATCTGATGAGACAGCTGTTTGTTACCACCAAGAGTGAGTTCCATTAGTATTGACCAAGTGTGAATGTTTGTGAAGCCATCTACCGGGACATAGTCAACCAACTTATCAGCAGCCATAAATCCAAGACAAATTCATCCCCTCCATCAGTTGCCAATTGCTCCTCATTCATGTTGGAATTTTTACTGGTTTGATCTTGTGCAAGTCTAGTGTATGACACACAGTTGCTGTGTGAGTTGATCTGTGCATCAGCTGTGTTCTGTCCTGAATAGGGCATTTCACAGTACTTCTCTCCATATTCATACTCTTACTTTTTTCTCCTAAACATTTTCCCTCAATGTTTATTGAACTTTTGGTAGTGGAAGATCGATACAAATGACCCATCTTCGGATGTGCATCGCAGTAACTTATTCTGATAATTTTAAGTAGTTATGAATCTCTACATTAACTACTGCCTATGGCAAAAGAAACATCTCTGACCAAAGTTATGAGCAGACAAACCTATAGGTGTAAATGTAAATAAAAGCACTCAGGCCAGGGAAGCAGGGAAGCTGACTGCAGAGTTTCAACTCTACCTCTGCTCCTCTAACTCCAGTCCTCCATTCTCATCCCAAGCTCTGCATCAAAGCACCAGCTGCAGATACCTCCCTCCGCTGTCCTCATCTCCAGTGGATCACAAAGATCCTCCCTTCCAATCTTTCCTCAACCTACTTGGTTTAACCCAGCCCACAACTCCAAGAATCTACAGGCCACTCTGGCCAGGGAAGTAGGTAGGCTACATGTAGATCTGCAACTCTCCCTCTGCTCCTCTAAATCTAATCTTCTAGTCTCATCCCCAGACCTGAAGCAGAGCACCCTTCCCTGCTGGCCCCATTTCCAGTGAATCACACAGATCTCCTCCCCTCCCCCCCCCCTCGACCCCCGGTCTTCTTTCCCTACACTCATTGCATCGTCCCAGGCCCTAACTTCAGAAAGCACTCCCTGGGAACCCATAGGAAATATGACTAGGGAAGCAAGTAAACTAACTGCAGATCATTATCACTCCCTCCATTCCTCCAAGTTCAATATCACAGTCCCAACACCAGACCTGTAGTAGACCTTCTGCTATGGTCTCTCTTCTCTTTTCCCTCATTCCCAAGAGACTAAGCAAATCCTAGTGGAACACCCTGCTCTCCTCCCTCCTGACTTCCCCTGACCTCCAGACAATCCCCATTGTAAGTGTCAGCTTCCAATACCCAGAAACACAGATTAGCTGGAATCCCCAGGAGTCACACCTATCAGGATTCCAGAAGAATCTCCTTCCAGACAACACACAGTCATTACTCTTCCCTGAGAACCAGAGAGGACAACCAAAACCATGGCACAAAACACCCAACTAACAAAGTCAAGACCAGATATCCATACTGAGAATTACAATCTTTGCAATCCCAGATGCCTGGAAGACAGTGTGAAAGCACAATCAATAACAACCAAAACACTATGTCTCTAGTAGAGCCCAGTAACCCTACCACAACAGGCCCTGAGTGTTCTGCCATAGATGAAGCAGAAGAAAAAGATGTTAAAATAACCTTTATAAATGTGATAGAGATCTTTAAGGAGGAGATGAATGAATCCCTTTAATTTATGAAATCACGGAGTGGAAGGAAATAAATAAATAGCTCAAGACATGAAAGTGCAAATAGAATCAATACAGAAAATCCAAACTGGGAAATCTGGTAACAAAAAATTTAGCGACTTGAACATGAACCCCAGAGGCAAGCCTCACCAACATAATACAAGAGATGGAAAAAGAGAATCCCATTAACTGAAGGCACAAAAGAAGAAATGGATATCACAGTCAAAGTAAATGTTAAATAAAAGAAAATCCTGGCATAAAACATTCAGAAAATCTTGGAAACTGTGAAAAGAACAAATCTATGAATTATAGGAATAGAGGATGGAGAAGAAATGTTGATCAAAGGCACACAAAATATTTTCAACAAAATCAGAGGAAAAAATTCCCCTCACCAAATAAGTACATGCC